TAAAAGAGTAGCCCAAGAGTTGGCGGTGGGTGGTGATGACTAGCTGCCTTCCTCCCAGTCTTACACTGCTAAATTAGGGACGGCTAGCGCAAAAGCCCTCGTGTAGCGGATTTACAACGCTAAAATCAGGGGTTCGATTTCCCTCGGCGGACACAGCAGGTAACCCGATGTGGTGCCCCTTAGTGGCACAGCGGTATGTCTGCGGATTTACAACGCTAGAAACCGGGTTTCGATACCCCTGGTGGGCAGAGCATAGATAGCCCATTGTGTAGCCTTGTGCTTAACTTCGAAACGAACAATAAGAATTAGGGATGACTATATACCTGAACTCTAGGGTTCTTTGATCTTGCCGTTTAATTCATACACTTTAGGTTAAAAAAAGAGCAACTTGTATTTGTCCACATTCTGTATGGATTTCGGATTTGGAATATAATATGTAAATAACGAACGGCTTTGACTCCACTTTAAAATAAATTGAACATTGGAGTTTAAATAGCATAAATGGAGCGCTATTCCACTTTCTCTCTTTCCTTCCACAAACACGATTCATAAGATACTGCAGATAATGTGACTATATTATTAAAAGTACATGATGTTATATATGATATATATAACTATAAAATGTATATATTGTTTTAAAACATCCGTTGAGTTTACTAAGTCATGGTTTTATATATTTAATTTATAGCGAAAGACTGGAGTCATTACTACATATGATTTAATAAACACATTGGTGAAACGTAAATTTGCACTGGTTTCTAGTTCAGGTGTTTTTTGTTTCTCTTGTTTTAGTTTCAAATTTGTATTTATTTCTTAGAGCTTTCCAGTGGCTCAGCATTTAAATCTGAGGGCTTAAAACGCTACACGTCGTGGGCACAACACAGACAGCCCATTGGGTTCTTAGAATATGAACATTAAGAAAAAATTATAATGTGATTCGTTCTATCTTAATTAAAATCATACAATAGTAAATCTTGTTTAATGTTAAAATCATTTTCAGAAATTTCACGCGTGGCACACTCTTTAAGTGTCACAAGCAGCCAATAAAATGAAAAATACTAATTAACAAGGTTTTAGCTTATCTTGAACAAATTAGAGAAGAAAAGCGCTTAAAAGCTACAAGTTCAAATGACATTGGTTTGACATAAATATTTTTATTGACCTGAAAAATAGTCGACTGTTGAGAAAGCTGGAACAAGTTTTCTGATTGCATGAGACAGTTATGATCTCCAAGAAATATCTAACGACAAGATTATTGATCCAACGATTGGTGCTTGAATAGAAAGTGCCTTAACGTCAGAGCTGATCATGACATCAATGAGGTCAATGTTTTAATTTATGGAAATACTCAGCAGAGTTCTCCATTAAGGAAGAAACGTGAAAGCTAAAGATCGCGTTTGCTTGTAGTTAGATTTATAGGTTTAAGCCTTTATCCAACTTTTAAGCGATTTTTTCAAAGTTGCAAGTTTTTTTAGGTTAATTAACTTAAGCATTTTTTTTCAAAGCGAACTTAATTCTTTTAGTTAGTAAAATAAGATTTAACAAAGCCACTTTTAGAAATGTTCTGAGAGTAATTTTATTTTCAGTTTCCTAACGAATTACCTAATTCAGTTTTAACGTCATTACTTTAGGCAAAACAGAAATTCAGACTTCTATTATTGTAAAAGTATACTACATGGAAACAAAGGACGTCTTAGTTGTTGTTTTCAACTTCGTTCTTTTCTTCACACCAGTAAACTTCGTGCTTTTTTTTTTTTTCTCTTTAAGGGGGTTTTTATGCTATTAATGTAATATTCTTCGTGCAATTTGATAGTAAGTCTATATTTCAATTGTTTACAGATTTTCTTGTTTTATTAACACAACATTTATCACAGAATACCCTCACTAAATAACGTTCTTTTGGTCATGGTCTCAATCTTTTTCCTTTTAAAAAATGTCAACACTGAATCGACCTTTTAGCATTGTAGAAATCAGACCATTGTATATAAAATACTTAGTTTTTACGAAGGTTTCCTTCTTTAAATACAGCATTTTTGAACCGATACACCAGACGTCACTTCGATAATTGTTGCTTCACAATCAGCTATTTGTAATACATCGAGTGCCAAGATATTAAAATAACAAATTTTATTATTTACACCATAAACAGAATAAAAAATCAGATTATTTCTCTAGAGTTTATTAAGTTAAAAATACACGACATCCCCGTATGTCAAATCCCACTGTTCGGTCAGACAAAAATAGCCCAAGTGTTAGCGTTGGGTGCCTTCCCTCTAGTGACGGCTACGCTCAGAGCTTATTTTATGCGAAAATTCTGTAACATAAATACATTATTTATTTATTTTCACCCTATTCGTTAAAAGAAGTATATCATATTTGATTTCAAAATTGCATATATTAGTGTAATTACATTTAATAAATCTTTGTAGGATAGTGGGCACCGGTATTTTTTTAGCAGTTTCATACATGTAAAAGGCGGGACATTGACTGTTTCTGTACTTTGATATACATATCTTACAAATTTAATCATAGTATTTGTATACTTGAAGAAAACAAAGCGATGGGGTCTGAGTTGGCGTAAAAATAAAAGTCAGGTGTCTAGGACGCGTACCTTGATTATTTACGCTATTTTGATTGCCACCAACGTACTAGTTCCCGCAATAAAATAAAATAAAATACGCATTTTAATTTCTTGTGAATTAATAATTACTTCTTAATAACAGATCGCGATCGTAACCGGAAAATTCCTAACAGTAATTAGCTTATTTGAATGTGCAAAGGAATGTGATTGGCTGCGTTATGACGTCATTTGGTTTTGCGGGGGATTATTTTGATATTATGGGATATCGATGATTGAAAATGGCGGGATACTAAAAGTACGAAGACGTTCAAGAAGCGGTTAATTTTCAAATCAAATTACTACATTATTCCATCAAAACGATACAAAAAATAGAAATAAATAAATAAATGGAAAAGATGTAGAGAAAACAAATGTAGTGTAAGTTTTGTCAGTGAATGCGTTGTTATTTTCAGTACATACACAAACGAAATAAATTGCAATAATTCAATTTACTGTTTCTTCAAATAAAAGTTACTTGATCATGTTATGCTTTTATGACTCATGACTTTTATGACCTACTTCATTACATAGGTGGCCCACTTCAGAAAAATCCTAGAAGGAACACGTGGTGTCTTTCTGAGCGTTCGTCTATCTCCCATTTGGAAAGCTGCGAACGCAGGCAAATCTCAACATTCACTTTTGAAAGGTTTGTTTTTGAATTTCGCGCAAAGCTACACGAGGGCTATCTGCGCTAGCCATCACCACCCACCGCCAACTCTTTTACCAACGAATAGTGGGATTGACCGTCACGTTATAACGCCCACACGGCTGAAAGGGCGAGCATGTTTGGTGTGACGGGGATTCGAACCCGCAGCTTGCGAGTCGAACGCCCTAACCACCTGGCCATGCCGGGCCCTTTTGAAAGGACGGGAGAACAGGCATAAATATTGATGCCAAATTTTATTTCAAAAGCAGGATATTCTACACTGAATTGTTAGGAATTAATCACACTATCATTCACATTTCAAAATGTCACGTAACTTAAAGAATAAAAATGTAGATTTGCCATATGTTATTTTTGAGTGGCTCTTATGATTGAAATGCTCAATTACTTTTTGCTTTGGCTCCGAGGGAAACCAAGAGTGCAACAAAATTAACCTTTTTAAAGTCCATGAAATAATTTAAATTGATAGATTAAATTAAACTTTTCCCACCACTGGAGAGGGCAGTTTGCTAGATTAAACTTTTTCCCGTTACTGGGGACGGGTACTTTTGCTAGATTAATTTAAATGTTTTCCATCACTGGGGATGGGTACTTTTGGTTTTATTTTATAATTGAAAGAAGTGGTGTTAGACAACTTAAAATATTAAAATTATTTAAAATAATTCAAAAAGGCTTAACAACATTGGTGAATAAAGAATATTATGGCTTAATAATTAGATGAATTTATGAAAGTTATATTCGATATAAGAAATATTCAGACAACGAGTAACAATGAAACTATTTCAATAAGCCATCTGCATTTTATTTCTCAACAATTCTAAGTCATTTGTTATTCTTAAAACAATTCAGTTGACAATCCATTACATAAATATGTTGTAATTAAAAAGAAAGAGTTGTAGTAGGAATTGAGAAATTTATATATTGCAACCTCTTATTATTTACTGGTTGGATAACTTTAGACAGTTTCTACAATAGGAAATTTTTTTAATAATTTTCACTTAAACATATTCAAAACTATTGTATTTACAAACAAAAATGTCACTTTGTCTACAAGTGAATATATTGCTGCGGGAATAAAACAACTAGTTTATGTAATAGATCTACCATCAAACAGGGATTAGTTTTATACAACATTATTACAAACTTAAGCTCCAAATACCATACCACGAATTTACTTAACATTTGTGCCAAAAAGAAATACAGGATTTTTAGAAATAAGGTAATTCATTCTATTACTGCTATAATATGTTTTATCATAAGCTTTTAACAAACAATTAAATCCTTTCCTAAAATGTTTACAAATACATTCAGAGCAGAGCCTTACTTTGACTATCACATTAATTACACTATATACTATATGTTATTGTATACCATAAAGCAGAAACTATCTCTAGAATTATGTTAAAATAATGTAATGTGGATTTAGTGTTCACAAAACATAGCATTTTTATTGATGAACGATAAGTTTGTATCTTCAGATATATAAGAAGTTAGCAACAGGTTTAAGTCCTGTCTCTTAAAAAATACAGTATTTCAAATATACACTTTATGCATCAGGTACAATAGTTACTTCTAACCACATTTATAAAATAAGGATTTTATCCAAATGCAAAAGTATTTCCAAAATAAAATATCCTAATTAAAAGTTATAGATATGAAAGTAATAAAGACACACCACCATAAAAAAATAAAGATTACAAAAACTTAACAGTAACTTTGTTTTCATTTAACAAAAAAAAAAAGTCAATCTACAGTGATTAATATTACAAAAACAATTTAATGATATGTTAGTAGCACGTACAACCACTACATATACTTCTGCTACAAACACACACACACATCTCTAAACATATCATAATACTGTAGAAAATGCAACAAATAAGAAATTAATTTGGTTTTCAACAGTAAAGTTCCATTTTATACAATTTCCAGTTTTATAACATATATCAAATATTATTAAACTGGAAATTGTATCAAATATCAGCATGATCTGTTGAATCTTCAAAACCATGGTATCAACATGATCTGTTGAATCTTCAAAACCATGGGAGAGTAAATCCATCTTTGATCTGTTAAAAATAAAACTTTTTTTTGCAAAACTTAATAATAGAATCATCTCCATGACTAATGAGAGCAAAACTGTTTTCACAATTTAATGGTTTGTCTTCATAATGAAGATTAAAAGAAATGTCTTATACTTTAGTTGCAATAGAACCACATTCACGACCTAATGTGCATCTTCTCCACCTGAGGGAAAAGAGAACTGTTTTCATAGTTTAACTAGAACAAAATAATTCCCACGAATCAGGGTAAAACTGTCTCCATCACTTTACAGAGATCAGTATCTGCAATTCTTTGAAAGTATTTCTGACCTTTTGACCTAATGGAAGTAAACCCGACTTAATTACTTGTTTAAAGAAGAACTGGTTTATGAGGTAAGATAAAACCTATCCACAAAATATGACATGATGAGAAGATGTCAGAACTGGAATTGGTAAAACTGCCTTCATGACTAGTGTCAAATAAAATAAAGATATTATACAAAATGGAGATTTGCCTTAATGCAGTATAATTTGCCACAACTTAGTCCATTTGTAAATCTCACCAAAAGACTTGTCTTTGCAATACAACCATTAAGTAAATAATAATAATAAAATAAAAATGACCCCAATGTTAACCCACGACTTTGACCGGGTACATAGACTTAGCAAAAATACACATTTCTATTCATAACAAAAACCTTTTTTTTTAACATAGCATGGAACCTACTTTTTCAAATATCTAATTAAAAACAGGCTTATATATAAATTCACAACACAATAGGTGTTAAACATAAAACCTGATACATGTACATGCATGTTCAAAACACACACACCTACTCACAACATGAATCAAGCACAAGACTTTTAAGGAAAATTCTTTCTTGGCAAAATGTATAACACACAAAACCTACAATAATAAAATACTCAAAATATTCAATTGTAAGTAAAATACAAATTTACACATAGCAACTACGTGCACATTATAAGGTCAGCTTTTAACATTACTGCCAGTATAGTCATGTTGGTCCTTTTTTGTTTGTTTGTTTTTTTGTACAGAAGGTAATGCACATATGTATCTGAAATGGGTAAAACAATAATATATTTCTCAACTACCGAAAAAATGCAGTAGATAACCATCTGGTAATTTTTATAAGTTAATACCTTTTGCATGAAAAATAATATCAACTACAAATTTATCAAATCACTAAATGTTAATCGTAATTTCTACAAAACACTTTTGGATGACTGGTGTATTTTCTTGAAGTTTCGATACCAACATCCAACATTTAACTCTTGTTTGTGAAATCCAGAAGGATACATAAAAAAATCAACAGATTTCCCTATATCATTCAAAACAATATTTACTTAAGCCTTGATTCTAGCTTTCTGGTAGTTTGTGTTATATGGACGTATTATCTGTGATGTTAAAACAGTGACTGTATATTTTCTGCTCTTTTTTTCTTTTTCTTTCTATAATCTAGGGTAAAATACTATAAGAAATCTAGCAGTTTCTCTAAACACATTGTGTTAAACATTAAGATGCAAGTAGTAGAGAATAGTGTCCAATATCATTGTCACTGAAGTAAAAAATCTTACTAACATTTTCTTCAGGTGCACAAAAAAATCACACGAAACAACTGAATTGCTTTTTACCAAAACACCCAGTTCTATTAAAACACATTTTCATGTGCTTTTGATATTACACCACAAAATTCATTGTTCCATGGATGAAATGTATAAACTCAGTTATAATAATGACTTATCAATCACTGTCTACTACAGAAAACTCACAATTGCCAATGGATTCAATATTTTTCTAAACTATTTCTATACTATATTGCTTGCGTAACAGTATAGTATACAAAACATTACGTCATGCCATCAATACCAAATTACTCTAATTCCTGCTGAGGTGTCTTATATATTTGATTAAAAGGGTGATTTTACCCAATGAGGACACTGTTGGTAATGAATGGTGTAAAAAAATTTATATGTACGTACACACTGAAAGCAACTTCCACAATATTTATAAAACAGTTTCTGTTCACCACACATGGTATTCCATTATTGTATGAGAATATGCATTTATTTGCTGATTTCTGTGAGCTCTGTGTTTAGCTTGTTTCTACTAGGACCATTTCTCAAGAAATACTTCAAAACCAGCACTTCCATTAAAAATCTGGATAAAAAGACAACACTGTTTAGTTAGAATTTAAGGATTATGTAGAACTGATGTCTGTAACTCTGAATTGCTTGTGAACTATGTTAGACTGCAAGAAAATGTAGATAATTATATGTTGAATAAATATTAAATGGAGAATGATCTAGTATTCAATGAATTAAATGTCACAAGTATACAGTTATTCAAAATTCCATCATACTTTGGGTGCAAAATACTGTATAAAAGTAATAGCCGACATGTATATTTAATCTAAACTACATGGAAACAGAGTTACAATGTGCAAAAAATAAACTAAACAGTTTGAGAATATTTTTTCTTAAAGAAAATTTGGAAAGAGAGTAGTTATTTATATGATGAAATCAGATCAGTGGATTGTACAAAGTCTTTAGTGTTATGACTACAAGTTACAATAAGACATTGAAGGGGTTTTGTTATGAATTTACATTATATAAGTAATGCATTAAAAGTTAAGACATCAAACTTCAACCTATCCTGAAGTAACTTAATTTATCGGATGGTTTTCTTTGTTTGAGTATATACATAGATACATCATAAAAATCTGGACTAATTTTCAACAGACTAAACTACTTACAACGATCAAAATGATTGTATACCTTCCTCTAAAAGTGTTCTAAATGTTATTTGGAACTGTGAACAAGATACAAATTCCTCTAAAAACTATTTGAAAACTCTGAGAAATTACATCTACATCTTAGCACAATATATGTACAATAAGCTAATAACACTAACAAGTACTCATTCCAGCTGCAAGGCCAGATAATAGATTTATCACAAGACACATTGTCAAATAGCAGATTGTCAGGCCAAATGGTAACTAAGTTATACAGTTACAACAAGAACCAGTAAGTAAAAAACGTATGGACTTGATATGACGTATTTCCTGGTCTGAAAACTCCTTCTAATATTCTCTCTTACTCAAACTCTTGAAAATAGAGAAATTCATAATCATCTCTTTCTCTGAAATATAAAGAAAAACTTTCAGAACACATACTAGGAATCCAAATAATACATTTCTCGAAGTACACTATCTTCAATAACTAACCTGTCTATTGCTGCAGAATCTTCAAAGTACATATTGGATGAAGGGTTAGAGCAGTGAAATGTCAATGGACAAACAAAAATAGATGGTTAGTACCAGCTAACCAAAATAAGCACCCAGAGGTAGAAATGTTTTGCTCAACTGGCAGAAGACATCAGGCAACACATATAAATACACAAGATCACTTGCTAGATCCAGAGAGTAGTTAGTCATTCACTTATTTTACTGTCAAACTAAGGAGGAAAAAAACTATGCAGTTGGAACATCTTCCTCGAAACAACAACGGCATATACTCCACACTACCCTGCTCCATTACAACTACAGAAAAATAAGGTCATCTGAAATCACATAAAAAACACTGCCCCTTTATGGTTACAGCTGGGTAAAAACTAGAGCAGGGCAATTAAATAAATTATTATGATCAATTACCCATAAGCAGCAATTACATAAACTAGTGTTACATAAAATAACTGATTAATTGAATATATGATTAAATCTATTAATGTAATGAAAGTAATGAACTAAATCAATATTAATGTTTCAGATTATTACCTTTCCACTACGATCCACTAATTAAAATATTGCCATTATGATTTTTTTATTGTTATCTTCAATTATTCAATTTGTTCAGCTAAAAATTGACTAGTGTCCCAAATCATGAAACATGTATAAATTGGAGTTTTTGATCATTCCAAATAATCAAAAATTTGCCATTATGTTTGTTTGTTGTTAAGCACAAAGCTACGTAATGGAGTACCTATAATATAAAAATCATAAACATAAAATATACTTCCTAAGCCAGAGACAACGTATTCTACAAAAACTGTGAAGCCTAAATAAGTGAGAATTAATGTACAGTACCTACTACAACACCCTTTTTTACCAAAGATTTTCAACAACAACAAAACAACAATAATGGAATGCATATTGGAATAAGTCCTAATACAACTTTATGGAACTTTCACATCATACATTTTCTATCGTAACTCTATAGAGTATTCTAAAACATTGATCAGTCCAGAAAAATAACAGAGAATCAAACAGTAGTTTGATATAACAAGAATTTTAATATTCAGTACCGTACTTACTCTACTTCCAGTATCCTACGATGTCTCATCTGACGTTGGGAGTATCGTTTTACTGCCATGACCACAGTTACATTGATGATGAGAAAACCCACAATTCCACAAACTGCTCCTAATATCACACTGGAAGACTGGGTGCCTCGGAGACTCTCATCATCAAGATAGGGGCTCTTCCTGGAAACAGTGTCATAATTACTTCTGTATGAATCTGAAGTAAGGACAGAGGTTTCAGGTTTCTTCTTCACACCTGAAAGTATGCAAAAAATGAAGCAGAATTGAATAATTTTGTACTCTTACAACGGAAAGGCAACTTATTTACTTCAAGAAGAAAAACTAACAAGGTATATTGACAAAAATATATGTACACATAAAACATATGTTCTATATATGTGCATAGCTGATTAAAAACAACTGTTACTTACTGTAACTCTTCATCACAATAACTTCTGTTATCATATGTGGGCATATGTTTTCTACCTGATTTAGTGATATAAAGTTTTTCAGCTGTTTAGTTTCCTGTGGGCCAGGGAGTAATTCAGATTACCTTGTTCTAGCCATTTCATTTCTTCTTTCTCTAAAGTAGGCAATGTCTCTTCTGCCTGAGAAGGTACTGGAGTTTTATACATAGTATTTGGGTTCAAAGGATTGCCACTGTAACATTTCCTAACTGATTATGACATTGACTGAATGTAATAGCCAACCAATATTATGAGGGAATAAAGGTGACATGGTGATGCTGTCAAGTGGACAAAGAAAGCAAGTTTACCTATTGAAATCAAGTGAAAATGTCTGTCAAGTACAACATGTTTAGTTCTACAATTATTCCTGAGGGAGATAAAGCTGTGGAGCTAAAAAATGCCTAGTAGAAATGACTCATTTTTTATCTGCATTGGTATACACAGTGTTTCAATTTATTTGTTATAATGAGAATTTTGTTTATTTATTATAGTTTGTCCAGAATAGTTGTTTCACACTTGAAGGAACTCATTCAAGTTAACAACTACAAAATATGCCCCTTATTTATTGATTAAATCTGCTGTTATTTGGAGTTTGCCTATTTGATACATGTAGAGAAATTGGGTTTATCTAAAAAAATACCATGTTCTGAAGATTAAAACGATTATAAACGGTGGTATAAATGCTTTTTTTTAATATTTGACAAACTAATATCTTGCAATACAAGTTAAAATCAATACACCTGAAGGAGTAGTCACAACCATCTATGCTTCTTAAGCATTATTTAAATGTCTGAAACAACAACACAGTCAGAAACACCTTTTCACTTATAATAAGCAGTTTGAAACAATCTTAGATCAAACTTGAAAAATAAAATTCAATATCTTTCATATAGTAAGAGGAATAAATCACTAAAGTCAGACAAAAACATCCTTTCCTGCTATGTTTTCCAATGAAGGCAGTGACGTTTGAAACACTATCTACAATACACAACATTCAAACTTCCATGGCATTTCACTTGTATATCAACAACAAAATAAACAAGGGAATGCATCTACTGTGGTGTTTATATCATTTATATTAAACTACTTATTCATGCTTTAAAAAAGGAGCATTTACTCATAAAATTAACATAAAAAGAATTCATAAAACAGTGTCCCAGGTTAGGATCAAACCTACAATGCTCTGCATATTACAATGCAACCTTAACCACAAGGTTACACTTTAAGTTGCATAAAAAGCACATTTCTAAACACAGTTTTGTTTTGTTTTTACACTTGTGCCCATTTGCTTGGCATGTGCCAAGGTTATTTAAACTGTTTCTTTTAACTTGTCTTGTATATTTGATGCCAGTAGATGAAAATAACAGTTGAACATTGTAGCATATCTTAAAATAATAATAACAGAAGTAACAGTAGATTATAAGATTGCATCAATGGTTCCTTGTACCTTGGCTTGTGTGTCTGATGTCTCCACTTAATGTGGCTGGCTATTTTTATACATTGGCATTTTTTCACTGACTTTTTGTTATTGATACACATACACACACACTCCTACACAGTGTACATTATCAATAATAACCACAGATTATTTGGAAGTTTGAAAATAATCACAAGATACACTGATAATTCAATGAATCAATGACTGCAGAGAATCCAGAACTCAAGGTGAAGTATTCAAGTAGAATTACAAAATTTTAACCTTTCAGTTTTGAACAATATGAGAATCACAAGGTTTCTTTGTTTTTTGTTAACATTTCAGGAAAGTAATTTCAAAATGTAAATGATGTTTAATTTTTTTTAATACAAAATATTACAAGTTCTAAAATTTAAGGCATTTATTTGTACATTTTTTTAATTATCTAAAAAAATTCTACAACTATTTAGATCAAAAATAAAACTGGTATATAAAGCATGCAAGTGAAATTAGTCAAGGATGCATGTATTACACCAAACATGTAAATTACTAAGCTCAAAACAAGCAGTGTCATGTTTAGTAGCTTTGTGGCCATTCTACAAAAGTTATTCAAGGGGAGTCAAAAATCAAGGTATGATTTTGGAAATAAACAAAAAAAAACAGAATATACAGATCTGTCTTGTCAGTGAATTTTCTGCTATGTATATATTTTCTTGCTTATGTGAAAAATTAAACATTTTTGCATATGTAGCACATGCCCCCCCTTAAATTATAAATCCCAGATACATAAACAGCTACATATACACATTACATTTACGTATACTCACACATACATGCACACACAAAACAAAACAAAAAACAACTACTTTCTAGAAATGGAATGAATAAAATTGCTTTTTTTCAAAAGGCTACAAAAAATAATAAAACAGAAAGAGTCAAGTCAATCAGTAACATATCAGATTTTTAATGGTAGGACCCACAAAAAACAAACTTGGGGTAGAAGATGTACACAGGCACTAGAATGATTAACTTCACTCAGGTTAACCATTATAACTCAATGCACCTTTCAGCAGTTACGTTACTATTTATCAGTCTTGAACCTACTGCAAGAGAGGATGTTTACACAGCTGATGATGTTTTTGTTCTAACACACACAATAGCCAAACCACGTTTCTATATTAGATAAACATAAGTGACTTACTGCACCAAATAAATTGGTATTGTATAATTTTGAGTCTTTAAAGAC